TGTCTGGAAGAGGCTGTATACTCATTTTCTTTGCAGGCTGATTTAGGGGTCTTGCAGAGAGAAGAGCATTATTTGATGCTCCACGTTGTTTCCTGGGACCAGTGCAAGGCTTAGGAACAGTGAACTTTGTCCAACGTTAGCATTTCAAAGCAACAAGCTTCTGACATTCTTCTGTACCTCAGGAGCAACATGTCTTCCTTCCTGTAGCAGCTGGATTTTCTTCATCCCACTCATGATGTAGATACAGACAACTGACTCCAAAATGTTAAAGAAAATCAGAACATTGTCTTACAAATGTAGCCAATCCTCTGTGGATGCAGCTTATTCTGGGGTAGAGGAGCTAACTGTAAATTTTTTGGCTCGGTTCTGTGCCTGCAGCAGTCAGAACAGGCCGTCTGTGCTGCTGAAGAGCAGCAGAGATGTTCCCTAGGCCATACCCCATAGTGAATAATGATTTATACAGACATGAATCATGAGCATTTCCTAGTGCTGCATAGCAGGAAGGTGCAAGAAGAGATCATCCCGCAGGGACCTCTGCACTCTTGGGGGGGTAACTGATAACTTGTGGATATAGCTTAAGAACTGTTGTATGAAGCTTTTGGTCATCTTTGTGTGCTACAACTTGTATTTTGCACACTGGGAACTTTTTGTCAGTCCTTATTACCCAGAGTTACTTCTTCCGGTCTGCTACTTCTCCTGTAACTGTGTTTCTTCACTGGCTAGCTTAACCTCTCAAGACGTCTTACACCAATACCAAATCACAGCGTGGCTGGAATACTTGTGTGATAGTGTCATCTGTTCACTATTGAACGACAACAACAAGGAAGCCAGCAATATTTCAAACTGGAGCAGAACGAGAACAAAGAAAACGAGAAGGGATACTGTAAACCTGTGAATCCCTAGCAGGGAGGTAGATATCCAAGCCCTGAGCCTCCAGAGCACTGCATGTGCCAATACCATGTTCTGTTTGAAGATCACAGAATGGCTGAGGTCAGAAGGACCTCTGGAGATTATCTGGTCCAAAATCTCTTGGCAAGAGCCAGGCCACGACTTCCTCCTAGTCTGCCTAAGTCTTGGAGGGTTTCATTTGGTTTGGTTGGATATAGATAATTCAACAAATGATACTTTCACTGTAATTCCACAAATATGGAGATGGTGGCTTTACAGCAATTTAAACTAATTTGTAAAGACTCTAAGTAACTTAGTAGCCATAGCAGTTGAGAAAATGCCCTAAATTATGCTCAGTTTAGAAACTCAAAACTTGGAAATACTGCCTTGTCATTGTATTCAAGATGTTTTCTGTACTGCATTTCAGCACAGAGTAAAATAGCAGTGGAAGAAGAAAAGAAGTGGGAAGAAATATGCAATAGAATTTGTAACAAAATAGCAAAACCCAGCTTAAAGCCATGACAATCATATACATTAGCAAAAAAGATCTTGTCACCTGCATCAAGTGCTTCCTTTTCCAACGCCATGGCACAGCACCATCTCACATTCCGTCTCTGAGACACAGGTGCAAAGGAGATGAGTGGTTTGATGAAATTTATCCATGCAGCCAAGAAATAATGTTCCCTTCCCTGAGGTACAGGCAAGTCCAGTCATGGATTATATGCTTGGCTTTCCTTGAGCCACAGCCTCCACTTGTGTTGGTACACGATTTCCCAATACCAGCCTTGACTTGTCCTCCAGGTGGCAAGTTGCCCCATCACCTCTTCCCAAGCCCCAGCCACATGTCCAAACAGAGGGCAATCCCCCAGCCTCAGCCTCTGGTTGCCTCATTTTTTCTTGGGAGACTTGTCCCAAGTATTTCCAGTGCCACACCATCCCAGCAGGATGTACTGCCCAGCCCTCAGCTGCACAGGTACCTCTGTCTTAGCAAGTGGTGTCCCTCATGGGGCACTCATTTTGGTCAGAGACATAACAGGGGCTCCACTGAGCTGCAGCATTCAGTAATGGGCAAGGGCATGTTTGGAAATAATTCATTTGAAGTGTACTTGTAGAAAAAGTGTAAAGGAATAAAGCATTAATGATGAGAAGCCTATAGCTCTTCTAGATAGACGAGGTTATTCTTATACGAGGGCTCCATAACACTGTAAATTCCAGGGTTATGGGTGAGTACCTGAGACTGGAATCTGACCCCTTATGCCTGAAAAATTCCTTAATTATTATTAGGATGGAAATAATACAAACCATTATTTTAAAATAATGATGGCTGGTCTTGGAAAATCCAGACTGAAATAGTAAGAAATGGTAATTTTAAGTTTACCAAGCAAACATAATCTTTTTGCAAAAGTGCCTGTCTTATATTTCATATGGCAAGATTCCTGGGGAGAATGACAAGTGTAATTAAAACCTGTCTCATCATGCATGCACACAGGGGAGGGCAAGCTGTGACTGTAATGGTAACTGCTCCTAGCAGGTGTTTTTCTTTGTGGTATTAAATAAAACTTCCTGTGTTTATTAACCCAGATACTCTTCTGTATGCTTCTAACAGCGCCTCAGTGTTGCAAACAAGGCTGAACTTGAACTATATCTTTCAGCATGAGCTTTTGTCTTCAGAGGTACAAAACTACCTACCTTAGCTGAGACTGTTACAGGGAACAGGAGCACTGTTGATGCTGCAAATTCTTTTGCACTTTGTAGCTCTGGAGGTTGTTAGTTCTCCATGCTGAAGATCTCAGGCTCATTATGGCGTGGTGGGGATCCTCCACAACTGGTGGGGAAGAGGAGAAAACCCTTCCAGAAGCACTGTCATCTCTTGCCTGCAACTGTAAGAGGACGAATATGATCAACTATATTTTTAATAAAAAAGAATCAGAAAGGCAGGAGGCAGAGCTGGAGCTGGGCAGTGGCTTTGGATAGTCTGAGACTGATGTGTCACTTCAGAAGGGCAAGGTGCTGGGACTGAAGGACCTACTTGATAGTTTCCAGGCACCCCCAGTGCTGTGAGACTATGTGGGCTTTTATGACTTTATTTCAAGTTCATTTGCTATTTGCTGCCAGAATTCTCCAAAGGAATATAAACAAGAAGTGGTAAATGGTGATTAATTTAGACAACCTAAGTAGAGGACTTGCGATGGGCTCCCCATGTAATACAAGAAAGTTAACAGCTTGCTGATGTCCTTTTGTGAGTGAATTGTGTACCCTGGTTGTTTAATGAAGTGTTTAAAAATTGTGTTGGCAATAGCCTATGAATAATGTATACAGGAATAATGAAATACCTTACTACTAAGAAACTGCTGATATGCTGGGGAAATTTCCATCAGATGTGAGAACAAATTTGAAAGCACTGTCTTCTTGGAATGCCCTTTATTTATGGTCTTGCTGCTTCAGAGATTGCATTCCCTTTTTAGATACTGCATGTGAAGATGCCCTCCATTGCCTCTGTCTCTGTCTTCCAGCTTCACCTGACTCCCTTTGCTTGTGTCTGTAAGAGCTCCTGAATTTTGATGAGTTTAGGCTTTATTAATTGAGAAGACATTTGCTGTGCAGTCTTCAGCCGTTCTAGGTATCTGCACCAAGGCACATCATTGCATCAAAGGAAGACAGACACTGGTTTTGTATCATGGCAATGTCCCGTGATGCAGGAAGCAGAAATAGGGCCAGTGATTTGGAAAAGACGACCAATGTTTCTTTTGCAGGTCTTTGGAGCATGGACTCCTTGCGCGAGATAAGCAACCCCAGAGTGTCATACGTGGATGTTCACATTTTGATGGACTTTGCAGTGTGAACTCCAGCTCTGATGCCTCTAAGTTTTCCCCTGTATCCTCCTCTGCATAAGGGCTCTGTGTGCTTTGGCCATGAGTAGTGGGAAGTCTGTTACCAAGCAACTACATCTTGCTTGACCAAAGAAATAAGATTGGGAGTGAATCCTTGCTTGCAGGGGAGCTCTGGAAGTCGCACTGCCTTAGCTTCAGGAGGAAACAGGCCTCCTAAAAGACGCCAGGACATAGCTCAGGCAGACACGCGAGGCAATCACAGTCTCTTCCTTTGTTGCTTGTTTTGACCTTCAGCTGTACTCCAGGAGAAAATCATAGCTTTGTTTCTCATGTGGGGTTTTCCCCACCTGCATGGAAATGCAGAAGTGTCACAGGAGGGCAGGTGAACACAATATGTATCTTGTCACTGTCCAGAGTGGTCTCAGCCAAGCGTGTATTAAGAGCAAACCCAGCTTGTGGAGTCTATAGCTCTGTGCCCTGCCTCTGCTGTGGCTTTGTTATGAGTAGCCTAGTGCTCATGCTGCATTTTTGTGTCTGGATTTACACAGTAAAGCCCTGAGTCAAAACATTTGCTGCAATATGGGCAGTATATTATTAGTGTAATGGTAGAACAAAGCAACACGTGATTGATGTTGATATTAGTCAGCCGAGGAAGTGACATCCTCACCTGGGAGGTCAATGTGATGGGTTTTGAAGTCATGTAGTGATCCCAACAGCAAGCTGCAGGCATGAGGCTACCGGGCAGGAGAGGGAATGAGTTAGAAGAGAGGTTGTATCCTCAGGGTGATCTGCAACTGGCTAAGCAAGTAGATTCACCAAAATAGGAGGGAAGATTTGCACTTCTGTTGGCTTGTTTGCTGCTGGGATATCCACGGGGAGTGCAGTATTTTCACAGCTACAGGAAACGAGGTGTATAAAAGGGGTTAGTCTAAACACAAGATAAGTAGCAAGGACCACCAGAGGAGTTTGACTAATGGCCTAAATGTTTTCAGTAGAGCAAATAAAGAGAAAAGGTATCTAAAACTTTCTCCATCTCTACCACCCAAACCCCTCCTGCCAGCCAAGAAGTGTTTCCAGCAAGAGGGTCACAAAGGTCTAGGCTAAGGATCATGGTCAAGTTCAACCAGCCTTTCTTAGGGTAGAAATTCTGCTAGCTGACAGTATTAATTAAAGAGCAGCTTCCTTCAAAAGGAAGGAGGCAGTGCTGTTATGCAGTTTATTCCACTGATGCTTCTGATCATCCTACTAATTTCTCTTTTTTTTAATGTTTGTTTCTTTTAGGTGAAGAGTGAAGGCCCCAAACTGGTGCCCTTCTTTAAAGCCACTTGTGTCTATTTTGTCCTCTGGCTGCCAACTTCGAGTCCCTCCTGGTTCAGTGCCCTCATCAAATGTCTGCCCATCTTCTGCCTGTGGGTTTTCCTTCTGGCTCATGGAATTAACTTCTTAGTGTCACACCGGAGCGCCAGCCGCATCCTAGCGGGACTCATATTCTCGGCAGTGGGAGATGCCTTTCTCATCTGGCAGGAGCAGGGCTACTTCATTCACGGTGAGTGCAGTGTCAGTCCTAAAGGGGTGTCACAGCATCCAGCTGTTACCCTCTTTTTGTAGTAATGAGTTGCTGGGCCACATGTTTTGTTTATTCATGTACAGCTTAAGCCCCCAGGCAGTGCGAAGCACTCATCCCTTGACTAAAATCCATCATGGTTAGAGGAGTCACACCATGGATGAGTCTTTTTCTTGAGCTTCTCTTGATGTTAGAGAGGTTGGGGCAGGTTTGGCTTCCTGGCACATGGTCACAGCATCGCAGCTGGTTGGAGCTGGGAAGGTGGCATGGGCAGAATCCCTGGGAAAGAGAAGGAAATGCTCATGGCACTCAGCAGCTCCCATGAAGCTACAGGAAGTATCTTCCTCCTATCTCTCTGCAGGGAGATCTGTCAGCCCTTTGCTACAAGGATCAGAAATAGGACACATGGTGCAAAGGTCCTCAGTGGAGAACATGTGGAGAGGACCCCTATGTTTTGATAGACAAGCCTGTAGCCTGGGGGAGGTGTTTAAGTGGATGCTAGAAACCAAAGCATAAGAAATCTTATCCTAATTGCAGGTTCATCAGTATGAATCATGCAACCTGTTGTACAAGACGTGTCTGTTTTGCAAGATGTGAATTATGGGCAATCAAGGACAAACCTTACCACAATGGCCTGTCTTCTCTACAGACAGATCCCCATCTCTCAGAGCAAAACAAGCTTGTTTTATTTTGTGAGTTTGTAGACTAGAACATAATGATTTAAATTAATCATTTAAAGCCACATTGAACCTGCCTGCAGCAACACTTGCCCTGGCCTTGGACTGTCACAAGAAATCAGCAGCAGCTGAGTCCTTCACTAAACTGTCTGGTGGGGTTTCTGAAGTTAATTTAAACAGCAGAAGGATCTCACTTAACACCCACCATTAACTGGCTGCTGAGACTGTCCCACTGCAAAATGTGATAAGGGAACTTTTCTGACTTGTGCTGTTGTCAGCTCTGAAAGTCAAAGGCTTATTTCCCACCCCGCCCTCTCATGAGGTCAGTATTTAGTTTTATTCTGGGATTCCCACAAGCTCTTTCTTTCTGAGAGGGAAGTGTGTGCAATGCCAGATATGAAAGGCCAAATACTCTGAATCTGGTTTTAATCCTGCTTCCCAAGGGCTTATTGCAATCTCATTAAAAGTTCATGTAAAAATTTTTACTGATTTTGGTGGGGTTTAGATTAGGGCCTGAGGATTGGACCTGTTTGGCTGAACCTTGGACATGTTGCTGAGGAGCTCCGGCCTTCTTTTGAGTTGCCATCCCCTCAGTGCTGAGCGTTGGCATTCCCACCGATGGGCCTCCTCCTAACAGGGGTACCCAGCTCAGTGCAGGTCCTCTCAGCCCCACTGCTTGTACTTCTGTTTGGCCTCCTGGAGCTGCTCCTTGAGCTGTGGCTTGGAAAACATTCAAGGCCTGATTCTCACCATGACTGTTCTTGTACATGGACTGTTCTGAGCTTCTCCATTCCCATGTAGCTGGGATACCTCCGAGTTCCCTCTCCAATTTAGTGCTAGAGGAAGGTCAACCAGTCACAGCAACTCTGTATCTGGTTAATGTGTTTTAATCTGCAAATAAGTTGGAGTTTTGACCCTACTTTCACAACTGAGAAGTGTTGCTTTGTGGGTTTAGACACATTTTTCTTCTTAAGGAGAAGAAAAACTTTCTTGGAGCATTGAAAATCTCAGCTTTCATCCTGGCTGTCTCTGCCTGCCTCAGTCCGTGCTGATCCGAGCTACCATCTTCCATAGCGAAGTGTTAATATTTGCGTTTCAGCTGTTAGCAAATAAAGCGCACCACCCCACTTCATCCTTCACCTCTCCTGCAAAACGTATTTTCTCCTGTTTAAAACTCAGCAGGCTGCTGTTGTTGACAACTGACAATATTCAACCTTTTGACATCATCATTTGTAGGAATTTGGAATCTCAGGAGAGTCAGAGGAAATAATAGATAAAAATGTACTTTCTGTTCAATTTCTACAGCTTTCAGGCTGGAAAAAAAAAAAGGGTTGGGAACTAAGCTGATTTGAATAGCTTTTGAGACAATGAGTTTATAACAGGACATTTGTTCGTTACTTTATAGGGAAGTAAGAGCCTGGGAACTACTGCTAGAACACTTGACTTTTTTTTCATTTTTGCTGTTTTGGTCCACTGATAACACGCTATTTTCTGACTAGTGTTTTACTGCATGTAGAAGATACTTTACACTGTGAACATCCACCTCCTTTGATAACAGATACTTAGAAACAATTAATGCATTTGGTGAAGAAGACAGGGACTAACAAAAAGGACTTATTGCCAGCCTGAGGGGAAACTCCAGGGGCAGGGAGGGGGAAGGAAGTGGACAGAGAAGACAAGGGCTCATCTGCCTGATGTGGTTGGGAGGGCTGAGCCAAAGGCTGAGAAATGCAAGAGAAATGCAACCCCCTTCCTGTGCAGCCGTCACAGGTTTCCCCAGTCCCTGACTTGATTTGCGGGCATTGAATGAGCAAACCTGGGAGCTGACTGTCTTGTTTGTGACCAGCCTCACCATGTGTCACAAAACTCCTCCTGCCTTTCTGGAATTCTGCTTGGCTGCCACATCCTGTCCTCCTCTCCTCCTCCTTGTTTCCAGCTACCTGCATGTAGGACAACACATTCTTCAATTCCCCATCCCAGAACTCTCTGTATAATGCCATTGAAGGAAAAATCAGTCTTCACTGCTAGCGTGAAGTAACCTTCTTCTCCTTACCACCCCCAGGGCTCTAACCTTTCCTGCACTACAACACTATGAACAGCTCTTGTCCTAAATCCCTCCTCAGTTTCCTCAGTGCTGTGCCCATGATGTCTAATAGCTCTGTGAAACATCAACTTCTCTTTGCCTTTCTTTGCACGTCTCTTTCTTCCCCTTCACACTGTCGATTTTCTCCAGCCTCACCTTGCAGACCAGATCCCCACTAGCCCCATCCTTCCTGTGGGTTCCTCTCTCATCCCACCATGGCTGAGCTTTCAGTGGATGTCCGATCTGCTCCTCCTCAAGGGCAGGGAGACAGTTCCCCTTCCTTGAGCTGCCTCAACATAAGAGTATTAGGATGAAGAAATGTCTGCCAGCAGCAGGTTTTAGTGACTGCCCTTTACACCACAGCATCATCCTTTAAATGTAAACAAGTGTCCCGCTGGAGGACTCAGCTTCCCAGATCCTTTTCTCCATTTCATGCTTTAGAGCTGCACGAAAAATTCCAGCTCCTCTAATAACCCTGCCAGGATAAAGTGGGACAGCCCGCAGCTGTACCATGCGTGGATCTGGGAACCAGAGGACCAGAGGAGCCGGACTCAGTTTTGGGGCCAATTATCTACAATTGGCACAACAACTAGTAGTCAGCAGCTGTACCAACACATTGTGACATTTTTTGTCAAATGGATTAGTGGCAAGTGAATAACATATGGGCAGTACCTTCCAACACCCACATCTGGCATTTCTCAGGGGTGTTGCACTTCAAAGGGAAGCCAGCATTTTATTTTCACTGATTGATTCCAGCTAAGGTTCATCTGAATCTTGCAAATAGCCATAAAATTGTTGGCAGATCACATTGGTTGCAGCCCCTGAAAAAATATGCCAGCTGCTTCTTTCCAGCTTAGGTTTCTCCTAGCTATGGGCAGAGGATGGAGTAGAAGCCAGATTTAGTCCCTGAGTGCCTCTGGGTTCCTGGCTAAATGCGCTCAGGCTTTGTGTCTGGGTTTGGAGGGATCAGTATCTTTTTTCGCATTTTGTTCCTACACTGCTCTGATTCCAGCCTTCCTGTTCCACACGTGATCTATGAGCAAAACACTTTGGATAGTTAGAGGGGATGATCTTAGGTCTGCCTTGCCCCCACCCTTCCGTCCAAAACAAGTGAGGAGGAACCACCTGAAAAACAAGCTTTGTTCCTTCTGCAGCAGCTTAGTTCACCTGGCCTCTCAGCAAAAAGGCTTGCATCACAACAGAGTTGTACTTGGCTGCAGTTGTAGATGTGCTGGGGCTTTTTCTTAGGACAGGAGCTTGGTGCTAAAGCTGATCTCCTATGCACAGATTTTTATATTAAAATGGTCCCAAGTGATCAGTATGGTTCCCACTGAAAAGTATTAAGGGTTGTAACACTGCAAGGACATCTAAGCCTGTGCTTGTTGCGGTATATTTAAAACCCACATGTTTTCTCCTGCTACCAACTGCCAGTTACTGATGAAAGGTCACACTTACTATGTCAATGCCTCTTTCCAGGTCTGCTGATGTTCGCCATCACACACATCCTGTACTCTTCAGCCTTCGGCATGAAGCCTTTGGACCTCAAAGCTGGCTTGTTGATGGGCCTTGTTTCCAGTTCCTGTTATGCCTTCCTGTACTCCTACCTCTCAGGCCCATTCACCTACCTGGTAGCTGTCTACATCGCCTTGATTGGCTTCATGGGCTGGCGAGCGGTTGCTGGTGTGCAGCTGTGCAATGACCTCTGGACATGGACCAAGCTCTCGGCCTGCATCGGAGCGATGCTGTTTATGGTGTCGGATCTGACCATTGCACTGAACAAGTTCTGCTTTCCTGTGCCCTACTCGCGCTTCATCATCATGGCTACTTACTATGCAGCCCAAATGCTTATTGCACTGTCAGCTGTAGAGAGCAGAGATGAAGAGGACTTCAGAAAGAGGAGCTAGGTGGAGTGCCAATAGTCTGTGAACAATGTGGGTTATATCTCAGGTGCTGTAGCTGCATTCACCCCTGAGAGAGATCTCCATTTCTCTAGGCACATTGGTGATGTTGATTTTGCTTCTTTGAAGCATTACCTTTGGGGCTTTTTTTTTTTTCAATGGCTTTCTCTGAATACAGCTTACTTCACTGTGGAGTCCACATCAGAAAGCTTAGACTGTCCCTGCAGTAGCTACTCATTCAACTTTTCCTCCTTGGAAGTGCTGTACTACTGCATTTTACTTGTTAGTCTTGAAACTGATGCTGAATGTCTGGGAAGAGGAGGGCTGATTGAAAGGCAGTTTGGCCATGCACTGTGCTAGAAGACTTGCTTTAAATAGCAGGCAGACAAGCACAGGTCTCTGCTAAAGTCATCGGTAAAAATTAATTTAACCAATGTTTGTCTCTTTTTGTGCATTACAAATTCAGTACGCAAACTGGAGCTATTGCCTCTGCTGAAAGGAAGCCTGGAGGTAAAGTAAAAACAGCAAATCTAGATGAGGGCTGAACTTTGGAGTCAGTGATAGCATGTGGGGCAGCCCCCAGCAGAACCAGAATGAAAGCAAAACACCAAGCAGAGAGCACAGAGCAATAGGTGCACTGACATGCAGTGCTGTGTGCTTTGATTGTGGCTGATCCCTGCTCCAGGGCAGGTGTGTAGGTGCCTGTCAGCGTTGCTGTGTGGCAGAACTAGGAGTTTGGTGGGATTTCAGGGACATCTAGGTAGCCAGGCCAGTGCGTTCTCCCCCACCATGCATGTGCAGTTACACGGTGTCTGCAGCCACCAGTGACAGCTGAGATGTAATGGACACGTGAAGAACTTTGATTTTTACAGCAGACTTTGAGCATGTGTCTTACTAATGTATATCCTAATTGCCCTTAGTACAGCGGACAGGAATCTAAATTATATGCCTTTCTTCCTCAGTATCCTAACAAATAATACTCCATATACTTATTAAGCATTACAGTACTGCTGTTTGCAGTAGCTCTTGAATCTTCGTGTGAGCATTTCCCATCGTCAAGGCCCTGATTTTGGATGTAGATTGTTGTTGTATTTTGCCAGCTGGTGGTAAACGATCTGCTTTGCACCACTGGTTTTTGGAAAGCCCCTTTTCAGCAGAGCTTCCTGAAAAGCACCATCCTGTGTGTTCGAAGTGCCTGCTGCGTCCTTCTTGAACTCACATGGATGCAGTGAGAACGTGAAAGCCATCAGGGCTGGGAAAGCCTGTTTAATTCTGATCCAAAATCTGTGGTTGGTTTGTCTGCTAATCTGCTGAAGCAAGATGATTTCTGACTTCAGACTCTCTTAAAAAGATATAGGAAGAGGTTGCCCTGATTTTTATCCAAGTTCATTTGTGATCATATGCATATTTTTTCCTCTTATCTAACAGCAAGCTCTGTTTCTGTTTGAAACTATCTTAATGTGCTTCTTCCTTCTGTCCATCCTAGGGCCACTCCCATGGGCTGAGATGCTCCAATGGCTTGTTTTAAGACATGAGCACACTAAGGTGTGCAAAGGAAGCTTGCTGAGGGTTACTGCACCTCTTCAAACCTGCAGCCAAACAGGGACAACCAAAACGGACTGCATGACTCCAATCCATGCGTACCCCAACAGCCCCTTGCAGGTGCTCACTCACATGGGCAGAGTGAACAGTAGGAGCAGCCCTCCAGACCAGCCTTGTGGGCTGAAAATCACCACGGTCTCCATACCTAGCATGCCCAGACCATTCCATGTGAAAGCCTGGCACCAAGTCCCTGGCACAGTCAGCAGAGAAGGAATTCCTCTTTGTGAAGAGTGCGGCAGGGCCAGGGGGCAGCTGAGGCAACCGTACCAACTTTTACCTTGGTGTTGAGAGGTGCTAAGTGGGTCTCCTGCTCCTCCCCAGCCTCGTGTGATGGGATTGAGTGTGCAATGGGCATTGTGTCCTCATGACGAAGTGATACAGCCAGTGTTATGAAAATCTAGGTTAACCATCCTGACCCCATGAAGTCATCTGCTGCTTTTCAGACAGAGATCAGAAAGGTCAGCTGCATTATTGAGAGGGAAAGCATTGTAAATAGCCCAGCCCCATAAAATCTCTTCCCTTTAATGCTGTTGCGTAATATTGTCAGCATTCATTCACTGCCACACTGGGGCCTGTCTGGAGTAAACTGCTAAGGGAATTTAGAGCCATAAAACATCTTCATTCATCAGCATTGCTTATCTCCTGGCCACAGCTTGAACGCTGCAGTGTAGCTCTCTGCGGATGTCACCTGCTGTTACTCAGCTTGACTGTTCGCAAATCTCTTCCTGCAGCAGACTGACCCAGCTAAGAGGAAATCTAAGCATTTGGGGTGAACCCCACCATCCTCCCAGCACGTCAGCAAATAGCACATTGTAGTCTGATTTACAGTTCCTTGTCATGGGTCAGTCTGGCACACTTGGTCCTTAGTTGGCTGTTCTTCAGAGGAGCCCCCCACACCCTGAGCTTCGCTTTGAGGAAAATGCATGTGTGATAAAGTAACCTTTACTTAAAAGTTAGAATTTTGATTTTTTCTTTCTTCCCTTCTAGAAATGAGGCGTCTTCAATGTCCTGAAGATGGCCGAGTTGCTTTTCTGTGTGCTTTTTCATCATGGCTTGCTTTGTTATCCTGCTCCACGACCAGCCACTGGATATTTGCAGAAAAGGATCTTTTAAGTGTTATTAGGAGGCCTGCTGTATCCTCTCCACTAGCCATCAGAGGTGCAGTTTCTAGTGGCAGAGGTCTTTGGATGGCTGTAGCTGGGACAGCAGAAACACATGCAGCCCAAGTGGGCTGTTGTTCCCTGGCTGTCCCCTTACCTGGAGCGGGCTGGCTGGAACACATCCTGGCCAGCCATGCTGGCTCCATCCCAGTGCTGCAACAGCTTCAGCCTTCTCAGGAACGTGAGGCAGAACCCTCGGCATACAAAATCAGGGAGAGTCCTGGCTGGCTCAGCGAAGGCTCTCAATCTTCAAAATATCTCTTCTGCTCTGCATTCCTCCTTTTAATCCACATTGCTTGAATGAGATCATTGTCCTGGAGGCTCTTTCCTGCTGGGAAAAAAACAGCTGCTGTGGACACTGATTTGACATGATTCTGAGTTTCATAAACTCTAAGAAAAACAAAGCAGTTACTGACAGTCTGGGATTAAAACTGTTCCCTCAACCCCAGCGAGGGCAATCTTCACTTTGAAAGGGAGCAAACAAGAAGTGGGAATTACATGACTGTCTGTGGCACTGGCTTTGTGGACCTTCTTATTGTCTCTTTGCACTATAAAACTGCGAGGTTTGATTCATTCTTCTCCTTTTCAGGGGTACAGTTTTTGAGAAGAACCCAGTCTTTGGCCCAGGGACATTACAGAGGGAATGAAGCACCCCAGCGGTGTAGTGTGCCTGGCCCCAGCAGTATGAGCTCCTTTGCTTGCTAAGTACAGAGGCTTTCTTTTCACACTGCTGTATTCAAACACCCCTCTGCAATTCCCATCTATGTTCACTTGAGGTTACACACATGGTCCCATTACTTTTGCTCTCTTTCCTTTCTGTAGTTAGTACCTTCTTGGAGATCCTTTGGCTCCTTATTTGGCCATATAAATGATGTAGCACATTTATTTCAGCCTTGTATTTCTTTCTGTAGGTACATCCTCCTCACACAGAACTCCCAATGAAATCAAAGAAGCAATGCTAATTGCAACTGTTTTTTAAATGCTAGTAATGCTTCTGGGCTGTGCCAGTCACACTGATGTCAGCAGGGTGAAGCGGTGTAGAAATGGCGGGTTCAGAAGAACAAAGACAGGGGATTTTAACATCTTTACCAAGAAAATTGTATTCGTGCTTAATACCTGGCTTCATACTCCTCCATAACTGAGGCAACTGTAAGAGTGACTGGTTTAAGAATTACTCTAACATGGCTTTTAAGTAGATTGCTGAAGGTTTCGTGTGGTAATCAGTGGAAGTAATTGCTATATTTTTACACAAGTAGGACAAACTTTGCAGAATTTTGTAGTGGCTCTTCAGAGTTTTCTGGTCCCATAGTTAGACACTAACACCTGTATGTTTTCAGCTTGCTATCATGGTAATTTTGGGAGCTGTTCTGGAAAAAGCAGATCAAAGCAAACAGCAACTGTAAAGCTGAGTGGCAGGTACCTCTTTCTCTTTGCTTGGTTTTTGGATACAGACAGGGACTCTTTTAAGCAGAGGCATCATCATAACTGTTTTCTTAGAAATGGATGGGAAGTTGCTGACTTCTCATGACAGAAGTCCTTCTGGGTACTTCTCCTGCCTTTTATCCATGCTTGCTACTTTTGTGGCCTCAGGTAAGTCACTTAAATTTTCTGGGGCCAGGTCCTCATCTGGTGTTAAAAGGCACAAGTGTATGAGGGACAGTACTATGCCAAGTTACAACAGCAGGGGACCAGGCCCTCACCCCATTTCTAAGATGGGGATATTAGCGCTGACCTACCTCACAGGGATGCTGTGAGGATTAATGGTCATACAGCGCTTCGAAGACGTCAAGTGCTATATAAGTCCCAAGTATTATCCTACATTAGTGGATCTGCAGGATTTCTCTTAAAGCATGGAATGTGTGACTGCCTTTTCAATTTGTATCAGATGGAAAGCAAATGCAAAATATTCATACTGGTTAACAGGATGGGCTCAGCTGCACTTGAACTCTGAGGAGGGTTTAGCTTAAAAGTCTGAACTCTAATTTCAGTTTTACAAATGGTTTTTAGTTCTTCTAAAAGCCTCAACCAAATTCTTAGATGTGAACCTTGCATCCAAATTTTGCAGACTGACTGTTCGCTAGAATAAATCTAATCCAGCCAGAACACAGTGCTGTCACAGTCTGTTAAAAAGACTGGAACAGAAAATGAAGGCATTCTGTTCAACCTTCACTCTGCAGAAAGTCAGCTAGGTTTCATGGGACAACTTGCAAAGGGATGTTTAATTTCTGTGATCATAAGTTTTACTGGCTTTAAAATCATCAGAGAGGGAAGGCATTGATAGAATCAATTACACGTTGGCACATACGTCTTGAATTACTTCCTCTTCACCTGAATGAAAGAAATAGCAGGTTCTATAGCGATGGAAGTGCTTGTACCACCAGTCCTAGGGCCCAGAACAAAAGTTGATCTAGAAATACAGCTCTAAACCATCACCATGTTTTCAACTAGTGTAAAAATGTCACTGTTCATTGATTTCAAATCTGGACCACAGCTAGAAACTACTTAGTTCTGGTAGCGCTAGCTGCTGTACAAACACAAATGAAGGCGAGGAATTACACACCAAGGAACGTGAGCTGTGCAAATGTGAAATGGACCATGATTTTGAAGCAGCTGCAGTAAAATCTTATCTTAATATGAACTCAGAAGCAAATACAATGCAAATTTTTGTGGTTTCCTTAAAATGTTTGATGGTTTTTAGTTTTGTTAGTTTGGAGGAAATTTTCTTAATGTTATTTTATTTTTGCTCTTATTGTAAAGAATAAAAATATAGAACTAGATAGACTACAAATGATAAAAGGTGGCCAGTT